AATGATCTCATTTGATAGCTCAAGAATACTCATTAGATATGTTTGTGAACGTGCATGTTGATTGTTTAAAAAACGTCGCTAGATATAATCACGAACATGCTCGATGTAATTATTTATTAGAAGGCTCGACAAAACTTGTTTGTTAAGTTAATGTATATTTAGAAGTAGAGCTGGTTTATAACTCGATAAGACTCGTTTGAAATGAACCGATCATGAGCCAAACATGAACCGAACATGAACACCCATTAATTTAAACGAACCAAGCTTGAACTCAAACATAATTGCTCGAATCAAATTCAAACCAAACTTGAACAAGCTGATAATAAACGAAGTCAAACATGAACAACATATACTCGGCTCGGCTTGTTTCATTTGCAGCCCTAACATTCTGCAACAACTTCAAATATTCATTAAAGTAGCACTCTCTAAGCTACAACCTTATTTGCACCAAAGGGTCCCTTAACAGACAATTTTCCCATTATCAACATGATTAATTTTCATTTTCTTCAAATGAGACACCTCCTTGAACAAAGATTCTCAACAAATATAAAAGATTTTCACTTGGCAACATCAATAAACTACTTTCAAGTCTCATTAATGATAGGCTTGAAGTTATTCATATTTATAAGAAACAAACATCTTTAAGTAATATATATTAATATTGCATTAAACAAAATGCAAGTAACAAAGTTCTAAAAATTAACATTGAATCTCAAATTTATAAGCATTAGTACTTTCATGTTCACTACTACATGCCAAAAAATTATGCATCTTATTAAGTCGATGCTCTAAATGAATATTTTGTTACAATTCAAGTTACTCAAGCTAAATTGGGTTTGATAGATCTTTATTATTGTTCCTTTCTTGGTTTCAAGGAAGGGGTAAGAGAATATTGAAATTTTTGTGCCATCATATTGATTGGGGTAGTAGATTAATCAAGTAATTATGAGAACTAGAATCAAGTTCAAAAAGTGATTAATTGAGAATTTGCTTGAACCATCTAGGAAACTAATCAATTCTAGATTAGTTACTTGCCAACCTAAATCATTCTTCAGCCTCGATTAATCTTCACTATCATCGTAATGGAACTCTGTCTTCCTATCAAAAGAAGTCTGGAGAACCTATTCAATAAATATCAATTGATATGACACTCATCTACTCTCTCAACCCCCTTCATTGTAATACAAGAAGCTTTGATTTAGCCAACACGAATAGTAATGATGAAAAAAAATGAACTGCTTGAAAGATTTCTAAACAACTCAATCTTTCCTAAACACTAATAATAATGATGACAATGAGAGCTCAGCCATGCAAAGATTTTTTGGGCTCTTGTAGATCTTAATGAAAAAGATTGAATTAGAATCTCTTTGCATCTACTCCAAATGGTGAGCTGTTGTTTACGACAGTGTTACTCAAAAAAAAAAACTCAAAGATAAGAAAGTATACAAAAATATTTATCGAGTTCATAGAATGAAAAAAAAATTGGATTGGACCGACTATTATGATCAATTCAATCATGAATTACTTTCATAGCAGTCTGATTAGCTGCTTGGAATTCTATATCTAATTTGACATCTAAACCCTAAAATTAAAATATATGTTTAATTGTTATTTAATATTAATAAAGAAAGAAATTAGAAATTATGCTAACTATATTTAAATAAATATTTTATATTTATAATTACATGCAATGATTATTTAAGCAACTTTTTTAATATAAAAAAACATTTTACATATTTATCATTCAAAAAATAAAATACAAATAACATTTGTATTTCATTAATATATATTAAATATAAAAAAATATTTTAATTCAATTTTAGTTTACATAATTATTTAAAAAATCATTATAATGTTATTTAATTACATATTTAACAATAACTATAAAAAAATACAAAATACTATAAATTATTATAAATTCACAGACCATTAAATTTTATAATATGTGACAGTGCATGATCTATGTCATCTAACTAATATGAAAGAAAAAATTCCCTAAAATATTGCATGCGACCACGATGAAAAACCTTATAAAACTGGGTCGGCATGTTTCATATAAAATTATATAAAAAAAAACAAAGCAAAACAGGTGAACGATGTGGATTGCTTAAGTCAGATCATTATCAGTAAACATTACAGATTAATTGCAGAAAAAAGTTGCTCCATTAGCTTGTAAGATACAGCTTAAATTCAGTCCTTACAACGTTCATATACGAAAGAACCTCATAATTTGAACTGTTAAGTGCTAATCATATACAGTTTTACTGTGGCTTTCAGAACAGACAAACTAATTTACAAAGCATTGTTCAGAATCATAACGCCATGAAAAATGAAGGGGACAATATAGTGTTTCTTGTCGTTTTAGTACATTAATCAAAATTAATGATTTTTTTTTTGGACATTAAAGAATAAAGAAGGCGTCAGTATTTCTAGAGAAGCCAACCTTCACTCTTATCGAATAGTACTGAGTTATTTGGACAAAAATAGTGTTTCAACTTTCAAATCAATCCAAGTAGGTGTACTTAGCTTAAATTGCCTTTCAAATCAATGAAAGTGCGTGCGATTAGCAGTCCAGTCTCCTTGTTCAATGCTTTGTTCATTAATTAGGCTTCGTTTAGTATAACTTTTTTATTATTTTTTAAAACAGTTCTTAAAAACAAAATTTATTTGAATAATTTTTTTTTACTAAGAAGCTGCTTTAGAAAGTAAGAAAAAAATTGTCCCAAATAAAACCTCTGTAGTTGTTAATAATTTATCATTACTACATTTTGCTTCTTTGAATAACAGTTAATTGTTTGAATCGATTGATGTGAAAAAATGTTTTTTGCTCAAGCAATATTAGCCATGCATATATAAGTAATATTGAAGAGAAATTGAATGTACGGGTTAAGCAGATTGACAAATTAATGTTATGTGACTAATTTGATTGTGTTGATCAATCTGATTGCTCTGTTTCCTTGGACCTCAAGTTTCATGTGCTCGAGGGTGGGGGGTTTACCCACTGGTTGGGTTCGGGTGCCACCTGATTTTTTTTTCCGTACAACGCTCCGGTGCTGTATATTCGAGCGCCCTGACGTTGCTTACTTGAGCGCCCGAATATATGGATTGATTTTTTTTGTTGAATATATTTTATGTAAAAAAAATTATCCTTTAAGCCCACTTGCAACCACAAATAAATTATATATGGAAAGCAATAAATAAGCATCTTGAAGAAACTCTAGATATGATATTTCTCTGATTGGTCACTAGCTATCTACATATTTCTATATAGTTTTATATTCTATGCCGAAAATTATATACATCTTCTTGATTCCCTTACTTATATATACATAAATATCCACAATTTTTTTATTATATTTATATAGCTTAAGCTCTATCATGATATACGCGCATAACATATGATATTATTTTAAACATATTCAAGAATCAGCCTAAAGTATAACATGTCACAATATTGTGATTGCAATATAGATCTCTACATACTAATCACATATTAATGATGCTGATAAAATGCCTTAGATACGGCCTGACTAACTATTTGTGGGATGCAATATATGCATGTTAGTATTTACAATTCATGAAGCTTCATTAAATCAAACATATGGGTTGATGTTAAGTCCATGATCATTGGAATTTGTCCAAAAACTAAGATGGGATGCAATTATGCAATGGTGGTAACCACCTATACATGCAAGATTATGAGGATTAACCATAATCTTTGGATGTTATTAAAATATCAATATCATTTTAACGATGACACAGGGACATGTCTTGTATGTGAAGTTTGAAATAATTGATGCATGCATGTTGAGGGCATAAGCTAGCATACATAATTGATGTGATTATATGCATACATACTTTTGTATGCATGTAACTAGTCATTATTGGAGTCCATATAATAATGTAATGATTGTTGTAGTGATATTAATATGAAGTGGATATTGAAAGTGACCCATGCATGGACTATATGATCTTGTGATTTGATTATGTAAAATGATTGAATGTTGTGTTTTTGATCTTTTGAAAAGTATGCAGATACATAAAGCATCTAAACCTATTAACCCTAATGTGTGGGTGTATGACACTTTCGAACCAAGTTGAATAAATCTTAAAAATGACCATGATCATTTAGGAATCACAATAAGTAGAAATAAGTCATTATCTATGTAGTTTAGTAATTGAAAAATTAATGTACTTTCCTAATATTTAAATAGACAACAAGATTTAATTTGTATTTATTGATTTTAATAAATTATTAATGCTTTAACTATTGCATGAACATTATATGCGTTTTATAGGTCATTTAAAAAAACAAGGTATTAGTTATATAAATATGAAAGTTTTTTTTAAGATGCATGCATAAAATCACTATATATGAAGTAAATAAGTAATTTTATATATTATAATTTAAATTAGTAATTTGTAATTAAAATTATTTCATAACTTTGATTTCTAAATTATTATAATAATGTTAATATATCACAAAAAATATTGTGTTTATATTTTTGATATCTTTATATTTGCTTATATAATATTTTAATGTTTTAATCATCAAAATAAAAATAAAATGATCGAGATATCCGAATAAAAAATTATTTTGATGGTCTTGAATGTAGTGTAAAGCTTTGATATCATATATTATAGTGTTGTACAAATTTTAGTATAAATTCAGTATCATCTAGCATCATCTAACATGATTTATGTCAAGATATTCTAACTTAATTTTTTAAAAATTTTAAATTCTTTATTTTAGAAAAATGAATATTACAAGTATTTTTATGTGATTTAAAAATTTAAGTGTCATATAAATAAATAAATAATTTATATAAAAATTATAAATTATCCATTTAAACTTCTATTATTTTTTATTTTGTAGTGCTTCCCTTCTTTCTACTTCAATTTATTTTTTTAATATTGATTTATTTTACTTTTGTGGATAAATTGGCAATGGCGCATCCTCTTCAATGTAACTATGCAATCCAAACAATCATCAAATACTCACAAAAACCCAATTCAATCACCGTTTACCAGTCAATATATACCTCGGGCAACGCCCATTCTCTTCTACATTTCGTGCTACCAGCTCTTCCCAGCTCTGCGGCCGCTTCTGTTCAGATTCCCTGTAAATCTGTAATAGATAATTCGATTGTTGATGGATAGATACAGACTGAGCTCAACCTTCAATGGAGTTCCTCCTCAAAAACCAAGCTTCTTATCCAATGCCCAGTCTCAAATCTCCCTTCCCGGAAAGCCTCATTTCCAAGAGCCCCACATTTTCACCTACTCTCGATCCGAATCTGAAGAACTCACCGGCGACAGTCTCGGCCAAACAACCGACGATACGGAAATTAGCATCTTCGACGCGGAGCGCTACTTCAACGACAGCCAAGATTCCAACTTAACCTCTACAAAGCTTAGTGCCATTAACCCTGAAATTCAAAACTGCAAACTTTCGCCCAATCCACTCGACTCTTCCTTCTCCTCAATCGATGGCTTCTCCCGCAACTTCCGGAGCCGCTCCTTTCGCACTACTCCGACCGCCTCTTCAGAAGCCAGCTGGAACAGCCAAGCGGGGCTTCTAAGAAAATCACAGACTTCTCTGTCCGTCAGCGTTTCAAACTTTCCTAATGGCGAACAGAGGAAGGAACCTTCTTCTTCTTCCGCCCGACGCCTTTTCGGCCATGCCTGCCCTTGCTCCTGCAAGAAATCCGTCGACGTCGAGGAAACATGCTCTGAACCTAAGAGCGCTAATGCGTCAAATTACGTCACAAATAACTCTTCTGTTGCTAAATTGTCGAGCTTGAAAGCAGAGCAAGTGACGAGGACGAAGGAAGGATTTGAGCAGATGACAAAGATGAAAGTTTTCCCCGGGATTCTGCCACAGGATCCCTTAATCTTTCGTGCTCCTGGACGCTGCTTCTCGCTGGAGCACCCTTATCCTGCACTGGAAATCGGTCGCCGGATTTCCGATTCCGGCGGTTTCACCTTCCCTGCTGTGGTTCCACGAAAGGAGGACAGCGCAGAGGATCCGGCAAGAGTTTCTCTTGAGGTGTTCAGGCCTACAGAAACCGCGACACCGCTGAAGAAGTCGGCGGAGTTCCAAAAAATTCCCTTTTTGATAAACACTGGAGATCGACGGAATTTCACGTTTTCCGGGAGCCCCAAGACGCGGCCAGCAGTGGAAGACGACGTGGCGAGCGACACAAGTTCGGATCTTTTTGAAATCGAGTCTCTTTCAACACAGATGGGTTTCCGACGGCGGGACTCACTCGAGGAGCTTTCTTCGTCTTTATTCGAGCCCAGAAAGCTGGCTGGAAGCGCCGCTGGGGTTACCCGTCCCCACCGAGGGGTGGACGACGAAGAGGCGGCGACGCCGTCGATAACTCCGAGTGAATGTTATCCTCCTAGCGAAGTAAGCGTGGAATGGAGCGTGACAACGGCCGAGGGTTTCGATCGCTCGAGCGGCGCCAACTTCTCGAGTGCAGTTTCGGAGTATGAAAAGCTCCGATACGCAGCAGTAGCCCTCGGCAGCGGGAGAAAGAAGGATGTTAACGGCGCCGGCGCCGCCACCGCCGGTCTTTTGAGCTGCCGGTCCGAGAAAGCCGTCTGTATTGTTAGACCGAATTCGGAATGGTTCGAGCCGGAGTTGCCGCGCCGTCTAGGGAACTCCTCCGTGGCATCAGTTGGGTTAGATCGAGTGATGGGCGTCGCGCGGCTTGGCGGTGGGAATCCGGTCCACGATGGCTCTGGGCCAATTGGTTTGCGGAGTCGAACCCGGTTTGTTTGATCCGGCCGATTCATACCAGACAATAATAAAAACCGGTTATTGAATTTATTCTGGGCCTGATGTAATGCTGCTACATTGAATAATTTGCAACTTGATTTTTTTTTTTTTCAGCGATGGTCTTGTAATTTGTTTTATGGATATAATATTTAAATAAGTATTGACAGAATAAAAATTTGTTTTCAAATTTCTGTCTTACAATTTTAAATAAAAGAAAATCAGAGCATCTAAAAGTGCTTCAACCTGACATTAATATTTAAAATTACGAAATTACCAATCTTTAGGAACATTTTTCATTCTTACATGCAGGCTTCTGCCAAAATATGAAGCAGTTCTCTCAGTGGGCATCTTCCTCTCCTCATATATTTTTTAAAATTTTTAAGTAGACAAATTCATAAACATATCATATATGTAGGCTTCATCTCAATTAAAGTAAGTTTTTAGTACAAAAAATATTTTTTTATAATAAAAAATTGCTTTAAGAAGCAGAAATAAAGCCTTCCCAAACGAAGCATCAAGCTTCAAATCTAACACCTCTTGAGTGATAGTCAAAATTCTCAACTAACAGATCAAGATAAATGAGGTTTCCGCTACTTATATCGTCTGATTCTTCCATGGAAGTTGACAACTCATTATCTCAATAAAATATTATGATCGATGGCCATTAGAGCTGTCAAAAGAATTGGATGTTTTTGAATAGCTGGTGTGTGGTTTCTTAAGAACCTCATATGTGATTCACTTGTATTGAAAATGAGCTCAATATAAATAGATCTTATTTGATTCTGTTCGACTTGTTCATTGTTTATATAAGAATTAAATATTTAACTTAATATATCAGTATAATTTGCTTGTGCATGCTTAAGTTTAAACAAGCTTAAAAATTTCGAAAATTTTCCTATTGAATTCTCTAAGGAGAATTTATTTTCAACACAAATTTTAGTGATAGATGCCGAGTTCGTCGACAGCTTTTAGGTTTCGTTTGGGACGGCTTTCTTCCTGCAGCTTGTTAAAGAGCTTTTTAGTACTAGAAAACAAGCAGGAAAAGAACCGTCCCAAAAGAAGTATTAGTCAGTGTATTTTCACGACTTTACAATAAGCTTCATTAATCTTTTTTATATACCATTTTTTATTGTTTAATCATAACCGCTTCTGTAGCATTAAACCTTGACTCAAACATATAAAATGGACTCAAATAATGAGACCAATACATTCTCATTTCACATCAATTGTGTACTTTCTAATACTAAAATCTAAGAAGATTCTTAAGGCTGTTGTCTCTAAATCTCATTTCCTCCCTCTTCTTTTTTTTTAATTGACCTATAATTGGTAGCAAAGCATGTCATTCATGTAAAAAAAATGGATCCAACTGTGAGATCATTTCCTTGTAGAAGAAGCACTTCCAACGGATCTTGAGAGAGGAGGGAGAGAGGAGAGGGGAGGCGTGAGCTCAAAATGCAGCAAATCTTATTTCTTCTTGGCTTCCTAATACAAACTAAAGCCTATTAATAGGCACCTAAAAGCTATACAAATAGCTCCACAAATGGCCACACATGCCATATAAAAAAACCTATACAAAAACCAAATCTAAAAATCTGGAATAATATCAAACACCAACAATCATAACTATTATTGAAAAACAATAAACTCCCATTGTAATGATGAATAAAGGGTGTAGATATCTTCTTACTTTCATCCTTAAACTATTGTCACCTCACTTCTCTTCTACAAGTCTTTTAATATTGTTTATATGCCCACCTTGTTTATTGTCATAAGGTGGCTATGTGTATTTGAGCTTTGAAATAGCCAAAGAAGTTTGTAGCACCTCAAGAGGTAAAAATCAACTTAAGTTGTATGAACTTAATGGAAGACAAATGACATAATGTATTTCTTGAAGATTTTTTATACCCGCAACAGATAACTGGACATGATTTTTTTTTTCAATTTCGAGTTTACAATAAGATAATTAATTACATCTTAGGGCTTAATTCCTAATAATAAACTTTTTTGATTATTAATATTGAATTCAATATTTGTTTTTCAATGATTAATTTTAGATTTTAAAATGAAATTAGATCAACTTGAGGAAAAAAAAAAACAACGGAGTCTAAATAAGAAAAGGCTAGAGGCTTTTAATTTTAATAACTCAGAATACTTAAAAGGAATTATCCAATATTAAGTATTAAATACTTTTTGAAAGAATTCATTATGCTCAAGTTGATTAAATTTTATAATATCAAACTTACACTTAATTCCATGATAATAAAGAAGGCATTATTAGTGATCTACTTGGGGTCAAGGCTTACAACATCTTAGTCAATGATATTTGCCTTAAATTTAATTTTATTTTAAAGACTTATAATATCATTAAGAAATGACTTTTTACCTAAATCTAATATAGTTTGAAAGTTATCAATGGAAGTTCTAAACCTTAACCTCAATGATTAATTAGTATTCACTAAGTTTGTTGGACTTATAATTCTACAAGAAAATGAATGCAAAAAAAAACTCACATAATTATTTTGAAAATCATAACATCTTTATCTTATAAGAAATGAAGGATATGACAACCATTATATTTTAAGAAGAATGACTTGCATCATCTTTGCTGCTTAAATAAGGTTGGTTGATTAATTCAAATATTTGTTTGATTAATTCATGTAGGGTGGTTTTAACTAATGAACAAATATGATTTGATTTTAAGTGAAAACATGTATCGATATCATATATCTTCAGTAAACATCTATTATTTTGTTTGGACTTGCAAGGTGAATAACTCCTCACTTTCATGATGCTTGTGGGTCATACTTAACACTTTCCCCTTGACAATTTCATCAGGGAAAGGCTCAAATTTGGCTGATTCATTGACTCAAATGCTTGATCCTTTGTTGCAATAGTCCTCACCATATTCCCCTTGATATGCTTATTAAACTTCTTTGGATTGAGTTTTGGATAACCTGTTTAATTCCACTTATTCTCAACAAGAAGCATCTATCTTTTTTTTTTTTAATTCTTGATAGGAGAATAATATCTATTACATTCTTTTCGATGTTATAGAAAAAATTCTTGCATTACTAATATTTTTAATGGGGAATAATACAAATTTGTTTGAAATTTTTTATGAAAGGTAAACATCTACTTCATCAACATGAACATGCACTTCAATGACACACCAATTATTAGTTCTATTTTCATAAACTCTCTTAGGTATTCCTATATTTTTTGTTCTTTTCATTGGCTCAACCTTTGTATCTTTCTCCATCCTCTTGTTCATACCACATATCATAGAATGCTTATATGAGCACATTCTTGAATTGCTTCATGTTCATATTTTGATGCCCTTCTCAAAGATGGACATTATATCATGTTAACATTATGAGACCCTATGATCTAAAATGAAAGAATTTCATTTCATTTATTCTTTATTATCCTTTTTTTTTCAATTCATTAACAATCAGATTATTGATAATCAGAGCGTATAGACAACGAAAAATATAACTACATTATTACAATTAATATTTGAATTCTGATGAAAGTTCAAAGTATCAAAATAATATATATAATAGCACAAAAAGCTACAAAAGAATATATATATAAAACCAAGAAGCTAAAAATAAAACTAAACTATCAACACTATTTAGCCTCAATTAACAGACACTTTAATTATCTTTATCTGAAATCATATAAAAGTCACATATTGAGCACATAGTGTGGTAAGTAACTAAAACTTATCACTATATTCAATATAAGTTAAAAGAATTAATATGCCTACTCTAGTTTTAAATCTAGTCAATATTAATAAGTTATGAGTATGAGTAATAAACAATGTGTGATATCAATATCAATGAATAGTAAAGACAATATTATCTGTGAAACTATATTTTTCAATAAACAAAAGAGGTTTATCAATTTATAAGAAAAATGGTAAGAAGGCTATCAATCAATTACAAGGGCTATATAGTGAAATAAGCCTAAGTTGTCTATCAATTATATTTGTACTTATGGTTATATCATATGCTTTTATCAATCATTATGTCATGTATAGTTATCTATAAATATGTCATGTCGATATGCCATATCAAGATGTTGTATCATTATATCCAGCAGTATCTATGAATATCCTTGTTGTATGATATGTCATGATATATCAGTATCAATTCAAATTATATTAGTATTACCTCAGTTCTATCTATCAATCAATTTATATGATATCATGTAAATGTAGTCATGAATACGATTATAAATAACAAGAAAGGTCATCCAATTTTAATTTGACTTTTTTAATATCTTCAACCTCAACTATCGTTAAGTTGATCATCAGTCTTTATATTACCATCGTTGTTCATAAAACATCATCTTTTCATCAACATCTCATCGAGCTACTTCCTATCCAGGGTAATTATACCACCAAAATGAATGTTAAGAACTTGATTTTAGAAAGTATCGCCCTTAATTTAAGGATAGATTCTCAATAATCCTCATCGACATCTAAGTTGTCATTGATAGACATCTCAAGAAAGAATTAAAAAAAGGTAAAGCAACTATGGAAGATTATGCAGCCTAATGGTTTACTATAGGGTTGAAGACAACCATGATGCAAGATTCATAAATTTATAGTTGATTGAGTCAAAATTAGCTGTTCATGAAGATAATTAATTTGATTTAAATATATTGAAGTTGTTAAATGAAAAATTGACATGAACCTATTACTAAATCTATAATATGGCAGAGATTAAAAACAAGAACTCAGAATAGTGCAATCAATTAAACATAAAAAATAACTTTTAGGGTCCGTTAAATTTGCGATTGGGTATAGCTTAATTTTTTTAACAATATTTCCACAGCTAAATTTTGATTAAAACGATGTTGGGTTTTAAAATTTCCCCGTCAGCCATTGTTTGCGTTAGCCTTTTTTGTTTATGAATGAATCTTTCATAACGTACATCTTGCTGATGACATATGAATATATGATGAATTTGCTAAGGAGGCAGTTGAAGCACATCAACAGCAATTTTACTTAATCTCTACAAAGTCTAAGGGCATCTCCAACCGAACTCTAAACGCTTGAATGGCATTCCTGACCAGCTCCAGCCGAATCACAAAATTTTCGCTATTTGGCTGCGGGTTAACAGTGGGACGCCAATATTGGCATTGCACTGTTCATCTACGCCATTTTTACCTCTCTACCAAACTTGC